CCTTCCTTATTCATCGCTCCGAATATGAATGGCATCAGCCCTGCTTTTATAGTTTCTTCCAAACGTTTTTTATTTTATTTTTTCTACGCGCTCTTTAGTCGCACAAGACATCGGTCTGCAGCAGCTGCAGCCACTGCGTTCTTCTCCCGCGCAATGTGTTTGATATGAGCGCTAAGCCAGCTCCATGGCCGCGCAATGTTGCGCGCGCTGCAGCATCTCTGCTCGTCATTTCTCTCTCCAGCCTATTTCTCTCTTTCTCTCTTTCTTTCTCTCTTTCCTCTCACCCGCTCCCCGCCTCTTCCCTTTCGCTTAACTTATAGTCCCTCCCCCACCCCCTCCCTCCATCCCCGCTCCCCAAAAGCCCCTTCTGAAGGTGGCCACTTCCGCCTCTCGTCTTCCGGTCTAGCGCACTCCAAGGTTGGCGTGGTTCTTGCTCGCGACCCGCCGCCGCGGTTTGGAGCGCACCTGCAGCGCACGACCCGACCGTCGTCCCCCGGGGGGCTGCCTCTCGTCCCGCGAGTGCAGCAACAAGCCCCTTGACTTATCCTTGACATCCCGTTAGTGCCGCCGCCTGCCGCTAGATGGCGTACGTAGCGTCGGGTTTGTCATATCCGACGTCGTTCTGCGGCGTTAGGGTGCCATATTGCGGATATGTCCTACCCCCCACCAACCATCCCCCTCACCTGAGCACAGAGAGAGAGAGAGAGAGAGAGAGAGAGAGAGAGAGAGAGAGAGAGAGAGAGAATGCCGTTCCTCTGGGGGTGACCTTGTTTGATCGTTATGAGACGGCCTATACCACCGCGGCAGCCTTGACTTCCTTTTTTCTTTCCGACATCTTCCCCAACAGTGTAGCAGTTTTTATTGCAGGCCCCTTTCCTGTAGATGGCTTTGTTTTCCGGGGGAAGGCGCTCACGTAGCGCAACGCTGGCCGCGCCGCCGCGGCCGCCCCCTTTAGGGAAATCGGACGGAGATATGCTCTGGCCAGCGCCGGGGGAGGCCCGGACGGAACTAAACCGGTCTGAATGGATTTCGAGCTGGCGGGCCTGAACCGATCTCGAACGAGAGCCTCCTACACAGGCTAGGCTGTGTTTCCCTGGTGGCGAGAAAGCCTCCTTAGGCCGCTGAACAGCACTGCGATGACCAAGTTGGTTTGTGAATGCAACCTATGTTTTACAAGCAACGAAGAAATTTACAGCATTGCATTCCGAACAAAATAGTAACGCAAGCAAATTGCTTGTAAGGATTTTCATGAGCTATCCAAGAAATGTTCGAAATCTGAAAAAAATCTTTGAGCAAGAGTGAGATTTTTTTCGCATACGTTAACGTTGCAATGTATTTACTTCGTAAGCGTTTCACAGTGCGCTTTTAGATTTCCCTTCCTCATATCACACCCATTCCCTTCTCCCGTTTTTCTCACTTATTTTCTCATTCTCGTTCCCATGGCCGTCACGGTCAAGCTAGAGGTGAGGTCTGTGCATTCGCGTAAATTGGATAACGGAAGAAATGCAGAGTCAGCTGTTTTGTAGTTATCTTTATTTATTTTTTTTCGTTTTTGGCAGTAAATCCTAAATCCTGCGTATAAATTACGTGGCTCGGGAGTGTCACGCTTTAATTCAAGTAGCCTCCTTACACTTAATTGTAGCGGGAACAAGTGCACCGTCTTTCAGGGTGGAATTCCTTGGGAGGGCTTTCTGCGCGCCCAGAGAGCTCTTCTTCTGCTTCTTCTTCTTCTTCTTCTTCTTCTTCTTCTTCTTCTTCTTCTTCTTCTTTTCAATATCATCTGTTTGCTTCTCTGAATTATATATTTACATTGGTGTCACAGTGGCACGTCGTAAGATTGTATTTTCACGAATTCGTTAAAACGAACTCTGAAGGAACACATGGCCACTTCCATACTGCGAGCATAGACGATCCTGTGACAAACTGCCCCGACTCCTTCGTGACTTACTCATACCCCCCCCCCTCTCCCCCGCACACACACACACAACCAAAACCACAACGTATTTTTTCTCTTTAACCTGTCCTCAAGACTTTAGCCGAGAAACATTTTGCCTCCTCCTTGAGAAAGAGTGTGACAGGGGGCGGGGGAGGGGGAGAGTGGGTCGTTGCTGATTATCCGGGGGTCATCCATCGTACTTAGCCGAGGGCAAAGGAATCTCACTCAGACGGTGAGAGGCAGCACAAAGTGGGGGAGGTGGGGGATGTGTGTGGCAGAAAGAGGGAGAGAGCGGGAGGGAGAGAGAGAGCAGAGGAAAAGAGGTGGGGTCGGGGGTGGAGGGCAGAGCGCTGGGCCAAGGTGGGGAAGCTTGGACTTGGTGAGGAACTCTCTGACAAGTAGCACAAGTTTGAGAGGAGCGCTGGGCAAAGCATTCCCCGGCCTGAGACGGGTATAATGGCTTCACTGATAGAAGCGAGCGAGAGTTAGGGAAGGAGTGGAGGGGGGGGGGGGATGCAAGTCGACGGTGTTAAGGGGCGGGGGAGTATATGCTGCCTCAACTCGAATGTGTGACCAACGGAAATGATTCGTAAACTCTCAGTTCTGCACCGTCCTGCTCGACAATACTGGCGGAAACGAAACACGAACTGCGCGTTGCTACCTGTTTTTAAGGAATAAATCGTTCGCAATCATCGGTTAGAAAGTAGTACAATAGCGCAGCCGTTCGCAAGCGCACTGCTGCTACGGTGCGGCGGATGAGGAGCGAAGTGAAGGGCGAATGAGGCGAAGGTTGTGAGTGACTGTTGCGGCGGGGCCAGGTCCATTAGGGGCTGCCCGTTGGGGGCCACACTGCACGGCTGCTGCCGTCTCTTGAGCGCGCGGCTTTTAGCTTATTGGAGCGGGTCAGTTTTTCCGCGATCGTTCTTGTGGCGTGAGTGGTACCACATTACGTTCTTGTACTAAAGGCCAACCATATACATCGGGCCACACGAAATTGTGGGGAGGGGTGTTTTATATACCTCTTGCACGTCATGTGTCACGTTCAACCCGCGCACACTGGAAAAGAATTGAATGTACGACGAAAAGGATGCCAATGCCCGTGATGACGCATCAAAATTTGTACCGTTTATAAATTAATTACTTTAACTACCCAATAGTGCTAACTTTTTTTACCTTTCGACAATTTTGTGAATTTTCAAAGGCATTCAAATTTCACACCCTTTAAAAAAATTAAGGCATGCCTTTGTCGTGCTGTAAAAGCGTAACGGATTTTTATAAATAAATAAACAACTGCTGTTTTGTACAGTACACTGTCAATGTGTGCAATTTGTGAGTCGCTTGGCGCTTGGTACACACACTCACGGGGAAATTAAATTCTGCAGTGCCTCGTGGGGGAGGGGCCGGGGGTGGATCGGGGAAGAGGAGGCCCTACGGGCGCACGCTCTGTTTGGCTTCCCCTGCGCCACCTGCTTTGCGCGTTCCCAGTGAACATTGCAAGTGTTATTCCGCCGGCCTAATTCTTGCAATCCCGGCGGTTTCAAATACAAGGGGGAAGGGGTTAGGAGGGCTTTCCCCCTCCCCGTCCTACACCATTACCTCGATTAGGCCACCGCCGCCGGGTCCTGCTGGCTGCCTCCGCCCCCGCACCGCCTTGCTCTGGGAACCTTTCGATGGCGATTTAGGTCCCTCCTATGTAGGAGGACTGCTGCTGCTGCTCCCGCCGCCGGGACTGGAGTGGAGGCTGTAAGGAGCTCCCTGCAGATTAAGTCCAGCCGGGGCTAAGAGAGGACTTAGAGAGGCAGGCTGCAGGGTATGCGGGGTAGAAAGAGCTCTAATTAGAGTGCAAGGTACTCTCTAATTGGTGGCAAAACGTCGCGTCGTCGCCGGCTGCTTGTGGTGGTGGTGGCGCTAAGCGCGCGCGACGGTGGACGTCACCGAGAGATAGAGAGAACGAGAGGGAGAGAGAGAGAGAGAGAGCTAAAAAGAGTCGAGGACAGGGAGAGGGAGCGGAGGGAACAAAGTTTAAAAAGGACCAGGCACTCGGACCTGGCCGTGACATTGCCCCGGGCTGGACGTTGCCCCTACATTAGCCACCCAAGGCTAGTCGACTGTTGGAATAAAAGCTGGTCCGTGATCTGAGAACCACAATTCGTTGCGAAACGGCGCGCTGCTGTGTGACCGATTTTTCTGCCTGAATTTTAAAATTTTGTGTAAAGTTGCCTTTTGAATTTTCATTCTGACAAATACATGGGCGTTCTTTTTATGTCCAATGTACCTGACTGAATACAGGTGAAAAGTGTGCCAATGCTGTACTGAAACTACGTCACAATTGACACGATTTGATTTATCACTCGTTCAAGTCGTGGTGCAAGTGTAAGGCGCGCCCAGCCGGGACCAGAGCCTCTGTTGGAGTGCACCCAGCCTGGGGAGGTCTGTCCCTTTCTCTCTCTCTCTGTCGCCGTCGCCTCGCCTCAGTGGCGTCCCGCACCCGCAGGCGAACGAGTTGTTTTGGAAGTTGACCGTGGTCCTTTTTCAGTCTCTGTCCCGCCTCTGATAAGCGCTGAAAGGGGAGAGGGAGTGGAGAGAGAGCAAGCCCGAGTAAGGGAAAAGATAAACCTCCCGTTTCACTCTCACCCTAATAAGGCCCAAGTCCTTCTCCCACACAGAGGACGGTACGCAGGCGTTCGTTTTTTATCTAGTTGCTCTTTTTTGGTAGCGTGTTTTTTTCTGAACCGGTCTGGATTTCTTCCCTTCCATATTCACACTGCTTGTC